ACTATACATATATATAATGGGCGCGCCCGCACAAATCTATACCTTTCACACAATAAACGCGACAGCACTAGCGGTGCTTATGACTGACCATAAATAAATAAAGACACATATAAAGATTAAAAATATATATGTTTATATATGTGTGTGTGTATATATAAATGAACTGACCCAGTAAAGTGTTATGCTCTTAGCTATCGACGAGCACTTCCGCAGTGAATCATAGATATATACAAAGTCTACAAACACACAAATATCTATGAGTGAATCTAAGAACACCGAGGTGTACGCCGAACATGCAACGCGCACGCGCCACATGTGCCTTTCTCCATATTTGGAAGATAGAAATCTGTTGCTCGTGACGTCATCACGTACATCCGGAACTAGCGCGCCAATCCTCCTGTCTGCGCTATGTGGGGCAATACTTCATGTGCTATTTATAAATATGAGATAGTTTTCCAGCGCTCTGATTGGTCGGAAATGACATCACGGTATATTTAGAGGCTGAGTCACGTATATAACAGACCATATCGCCATTGCTGACTCATAACGAAGTGTACGCTGCTCGATGAAGTATCTCTTGTTGATGTTTTGTACTGGGTTCTGCTAGTACCACGTTTACTACAGGTTTTATAGAAACTGACAGCGACTCAGTTTGCGTTTGTGCAATACATTCCAAAGCCGATGTTAGAGATGGAGACTACTATGTACGAAGACGATATGAGGACCACGGGCATGGGGAAGATCAACGGTAAAACGTCGATAGGTCGGTACGTAATCAACCACGGCGACAATCCGAATTCCGCCGACATGACAGGTCTGAAACGACGAATGACGCTCGACTTTAACACGTCCAGCAAGAAGCAGAGAATCACGAACTTGCTCACGTCGCCCGACATGAACATGCTCAAGTTGGAGTCTCCCGAGTTGGAGAAGCTCATCATAGCACAACATGGCGCGATCACGACGACGCCGACGCCGACGCAGTTCGTGTTCCCTCGCAGCGTCACCGAAGAACAGGAGATGTACGCGCAGGGATTCGTCGAGGCGCTCGCTAACCTGCAGAGGCAGGAGCCCGGGTCGAACGACAGTCGACCCAACTACACAGAGCTAGTCTCCATGTTGTCATCGCCCGGTCTCATCTCTCTCACGCCTTCCTCGACGGCCGCGTCGCTGCTTCCCCCGCCCGTCTCAGCTCTGCTCAGCAAGCCGCTGCAGACGACCGTCACGATGCCCGTCGCACACAGCCTCCCGCCGATAAAGCAGGAGGCGCCACAGACAGTGCCTTGCCTGAACGGCACGCCGCCCGTCTCGCCCGTCAACATGGAGCATCAGGAGGTGATCAAACTCGAGCGCAAGCGCGAGCGCAATAGGGTCGCTGCCAGCAAGTGTCGCCTGCGCAAGTTGGAGCGCATCTCGCAGCTAGAGGGCGTTGTGTCGGACCTGAAGAATCAGAACTCGGAGTTGTCGCAGACGGCGGTGTCGCTGCGTGAGCAGGTGTGCGCGCTCAAGCGACAGCTCCTCCAACACATGAACAGTGGATGCAAGATCGTCGTGCCGACCGAGATCGGCATCTGAGATCGCAGCGCGTCGACCGGCGAATGACAGACGCTGGTGCGGGCATCAGTGCTGGACGTTGTCCCAAGCGAACTCTTGTCGTGAAGACGGCGCCACATGGTGGACGCTGCCGGAACGACCATCATACACGGAGCCGCGACTGTACGCTGCAAAAACATTCAAATATTTATGGCTGTATTGCCCTGATTTATAGTAGCTGAACAGCTGAGAGAGTACACACACACCCACACACACATATATATATATATATATATATATATATTATATGGTGTTAAGTTAACCTTTGATACAATCACTTTCTGTTCTAAGTGTAGGCCATCAGGAAGCTAATGCAGTGCGCATTGGTGTGGCTGCACACTTGTGTCACACCCATACACTGAATGAACGCGTGTGTACAGCGAGTCAGACAGACTATTGATTATTTGATAGAGGTCCTTTGACACCACACCACACCACGCATAAACGTGGTGAATGCTGTGCCAACGAAACCGAGCAGTTTTGAGTGTGTCTAGACGGTCAGTAATCTGTTAACCCTTGTATACTATCATTTTGGCCACAGCACAATTTTCACAAAGTATATTGTAGTCATAATTGAAGAGTGCATGTATGTTTCATCTGTAGGAAGTCGAGAGCATTTAGATTTTTGTTTGCTGGTCAAACGATGTTCCCTTTCCTATTTAAATATTTGTATGCAAATATGGGCTTGTTTGCATGCCATTTTGTTAACGTTTTTATCGTGACATGGAGTGATAATTTTTATGAGCGATTTCAGGGGTTTGGTACTATATTTCGTATTGGTTCCTAATGCTTTGTAAAAAAATTTTGCTACAGTCACATTTTGCCTTCCTTTCATGAGGAATATTTCCAATATTTCAATACGTATATAATCTGGTCAGGTGTCAAGCAGTTTCTTAACGTTTTCTACCAAAGAGTATTTTTGTACATTGATTTTCATATTCCCTGTGAAAAACGCAAATCGGCAATCAGCTAGCTTCTACTGAAGACGTGATAATTATGTTTGTCTGTATATGAGCTGTATACAGTATATATATATGGCTGTATGTGGGAGTGGTTCCCAGTACACGGTGATCAACCATATATGCATATTATTGTGTAGATGGTTTAGTGTTCATGTGAAGATGCACACGGGTGCTGTGCAATAGGCGGCAGACTGGAATTGGAATTTTTGGCTGTGACCACGTACTTCGATAGTTGTGTCATTGGCCAAAATTGCATGGTCTTATAAATGTATGTGCTGTAACATTGTATCAAATCTTGGGGAAAAATGTATCGTACACGTAATATGCAAAACGTGCTGCCTTTAAGATTTTTTATTTTGTACGAGGGGATGCATTGGTCGTGCCGTGTCATTAATATCAATTAATCTAATTAGTCGTTCTTCATACGGTATCTCATCACCGGAATCCACCAACATGACACAATTAATATTTGTGACAAAGACAATAATGATAATCATGAGATCTGTGTATGTCATAGTAGCTGGAGCTGTGTGTGATTTGGGAAAGTGAGAAGTAGGAGCCTTGCGAATCTTGTGAGATGTGGCACATTTGAACTCGCACACAAATTGCATTCCGTTCACTATGATGTTCATCAGACACGCTTATACCTCACACAACAGTCTATAACAAGCTGTGCGCATGGCAGAAATGGAAAAGCAGTGAATGGCTGGTGGCCTACATGTGCAATCGTGTTTCGATGGGTCAAATGTAAAATAATTTAATGTTCGCATACTAGACCATACTTATCAGTAAATCTTACAAAATACATACACTTAGTAAACCTTATGTGCGTGTGCGTGGGTGCGTGTGTGCGCGTGCTTGCGTGTGTGTGTGTGTGTGTGAACTGCTGATTCTCGGGTCACACTATAAGAATAGATACTTTACTTCCCTTGCTAAAGGCAAAACGGAGGGCGAACACAACGGAGGGCCGGTTATGCAAACACTACGTCACTGAACGACCTTTAGTATTTATCAGCTGATATATAAATGTAAATTTAAAAATGAATTTTGATAGTTTTAAAAGCGATTGGACTGTACACGTTGACATGTGGCATTTACTGATGACTGACCAACTTCACTGTGTTCAAACATTAATCTGTTTATTTTAGACAACAACCCTGTCATGTATACATATTTAAGGTTACACGTACCAGATGACTTATGCCGACAACAAACTTTACAATGACATTGACTATTACACAATAGCAGTTGGCGAGGAACAGAGGAAAGGATGTTAAATAACAATCGTGTTTAAACATTTATATGTTGCACACTATAAGTATTACAATTACATTTTTAAGAACTAACACAGGAAATAGAACACAGAGAGAAGGTGGGCGCTATGTATAAACGAGTGCACGGTTACCTATATGCTTCATATGACTAACGTCTCTTGGGCCTCGCGGGTGACTGACAGCTAGTTTTAATGCCAATTTACTTCTAGTATCTATTTTTACTATTATAAATTGTTTCAGAAAACTCGTGTACATGAATCAAGCATTTCAGAACTGTAGCAAATCGACTGTGCAGCATTTACGATGCACAACAGATGCAGGATCAGGTGCAGCCTACATAAAGCTGAGAAGAAATTACATTTATGAAGAACATCACTAAGTGAAGAAAAGAGAACTGTAATATGGCGACTAGTAATATCAGTGTATCACACCAACAGTAAGAGTAAGGTTTGCTTACACGTTATTTCAGTTTATAAGTTTAGTTTCAACTTGTCGTAGGGACATTTGTGCTTTTACACTCCAAACGACCGTCAGAAACAGCCCTCACAGTATTACCAGAAATTTGATGCCAGATGTAAGTAACACTGACCCTCATACGTATTCCATAACCTTATTCGTTACAATAAAACATGCTCATAAAACGAGAAACATGCTCATAAAACGAGAAAAATGCAAACCGCGAATAATAATGGTTGCATCACAGTGAGTCGTTCATATCCCTGGGACTTAACTGAAGCTGATCAGCCAATGGAAACACTAGTACACCTATCATAAGTTGACTTTCTAATATTGGACATGAATCATTCAATATATAAGCACGTGCCGTTTTCCGGAAGTGCCAGAGAATGCTTATATTACATCCTGTGAACTGAAGGTGCAGCCAGCGCAACCTTTCTACACCTTGGACTATGATCGCGGTCAGGCGGCCAAGAGTTGACGTCTTTTTTTAACCGCATGTCATTGCATCTGTTCATCCAACGCTCTGTTTATCTACACCTAAATACGAGGGACACATGTACAGCTGCAGCACGGCACCATCAAGCCCTGCGTTTACACTTACTATTTATATCTGTAAACATCCAACAATATGTGCAATATTTACACCCGATCGTTTCGCACCGCTCCAAAGACGAACCGAGTTAACGCAAATTCTCCATAAAATCGGCTGCAACTCGCATCGCAGCTTCGTTACTGCATCTCCACGGTGACCAGCCAACAGACACGCGCAACCACGCATGCAATCACGATCGACAGAGACAGCGCACGCACGCGAGGAGTCGTCGGTGTCGCGGCGGCGGCGGCGGCGACGGCTACAGGTACACATCGTGCGCGTCGGCCATGTGAAACCGCAGGTTGACGAACACGTGTCCGCAGACGTTGCACAGGTGGTCGTCGACCTCGCGGTGGCTGAGGATCGTCAGTGGCGCCACGCAGTGGTGGTTGATGACGTGCTCCTTGATGTCGATGTTCATCAGGCGTATCTTCACGCCGCAGCTCGCGCACTTCAACATGCGCGTGTGCCGGTACTGCGTGATCGGCGAGTGGCCGTCGACGGGCCGCCCGAAATGCCGGAACAGCTGCTCGATGTCGGCGAATCCCGTCGTCAGGCAGTACTCGCACATCAGGTAGCCGTACGCGAGCGACGAGCCCGCCCCCTGGAGGCAGTTGATCGCGGGTCGGAGGTCGGTGAGCCGACCCTTCGTCGCGGGCCACGAGCGTAGCGGCTTCGCACGGCTGAAGGTGGCGGCGAGTTCCGCGGGGTAGAGCAGCGCGGGGTAGTGCGGCGCGGGCCGGTGTCGCTCGAGGTGAGCGCGCAGGTGAGCGATGCGCTCAAACAGCGTGCCGCAGCGGTGACAGACGAGCGTCTTCCCACGCGCGCCCAGCTCCTCCTCCTCCTCCTCCTCCTCCTCGTCGCCGCCGCGCCGCTCCAGCGTGTCCGGCGCTATCAGGTGCGTCAGGTGCGTCAGGTCGACGGATCGCGTGGTCGTGCCGAGCCCCGCAGCAGGAACAGCTGTCGGTGAGCCGGACGTACGGGTTGCTTCGTCCGCCGCGGCCGCGTCCTGCGCGCATCGCCGCGGCGATCCGCTCGTCGCGCGTCCTCGTCGACACGGCGGCGTCGCGGAGGAACGCGCGCGAGGCGGTCTCGACCTCGCGCAGCTGCAGCAGGCGGCTGGCCGCGCAGGATCGCGTGCGCGACGTCGGCGTGGCGAGGCTGGCAGCAGCCCCACGTACACTAGTAGAGCAGCAGCGGCTCGACGGCGCCGCCGACACGCGCGCAGCCGCAGCGCGTCGCGACGCACGTAGCCGTTCGCGGCGGGCCGCTTGCGGCCCGCGCCGCCGCGTTCCGCGCCGCCCGCCCACGATGTCGCGCGCGAACGCCGTGCCGCGCGCCACCGCGTACAGCACGCACGCGTGCACCTCGTAGACGGGCGCCGACTCGCGGCCGCCGCTCACCTCCAGGTCGGTGAACAGCCGCTTCTGGTACATCGTCTTCAGCGTCTCGACCATCTCGCTCGCGCGCTGCTCGCGCATCAGGAAGACGCACTCGAGGCCGCTGCCGTCGCCGCCGCGGCCCACCTTCACCTTGCCGTAGAACGAGCGCTTGAAGATCGTCTCGACAGCATCGTCGGGGTCGCCGCCCGAGCGCGCGATCTCACGCAGCTTCCCGAAGACGAACATCGCGTCGCAGACCTCGCGCAGGTCATACTCTTCGGCGAACGCCTTCAGTTCGTCGGCGACCTCCTCGCTCACGGCGAGCATGCCGGAGTAGAGGTAGCGGCAGATCGCGGCGACGACGGGCTCTGAGTAGTCGAACTTGTACGACTGCGCGGTGGCGCCCAGCAGCGCCACCTTGCGCATGAGCAGGTGGCTGCCGGACGCGATGACGACGCGGTGCACGCGCTTCAGGTGGCAGCTGTGCACGCGCGTGTCCGTCAGCTCGTCCGCCTCGGCCATGGCAGCCAGCGCGTCGAGCAGCGCGAGCGAGTGGCTGCGCGACGTCTTGCCGCGGATGCTGCGCGGGTCGCTGTTGCCGACGCGGCGCGCGCGCGACGAGCTCTCCTTGCGCGCCGTCTGCTTGCCGGCCATCGCGAGTCGTCCCGGACGCTGGCGCTTGGCTGCGAATAGACGCGAGTCATGTTACCGGGCGGCGCGGGTGATGCGTGAACGCAGCACGGGCGCACGTTAAAATACGAGCTTTGAACGCGTCTGCGCTCCTGCTCCGCGGCATGCAACTGTTGCTCCGCGGCATGCAACTGTTGCTCCGCGGCATGCAACTGTAGCTCCGCGGCATGCAACTGTTGCTCCGCGGCATGCAACTGTAGCTCCGCGGCATGCAACTCTTACCTTAATTTTGTGTAAATGCGGTATAACTTGACCAAGCATTTGAGGGACGAATTATCGGTTTAATGTTACTATGTTATAACGTCTACATTGGAAAGTCAAGATCCTAAGAAATCATCACCTAATGTGTGGGAACACCATGAAAACATTACTGATATAAAACTATAAATGCTTACCTTCGTGTTCATCTTCACTATAGAAATCTTTAAACTCTGCAACCTTCTCCAAACTAAATATCTGAAAGTGTAAAATGTCATCATTGTCATGATTCAGATTAGGTTATCTATCACTGTAGACATGGTAGATAATTATGTAAATATTTGACCAAACTAACCAATACATGTGAGCCCTATCTGAAATGAACTATATATATTGCAATATCCCTTAAAGCCGCACTATGCGCATCTACACGCTAATTTCTCCAGTACTAGACTTGCAAATACTTCGTGTCATGCAGAATCATACTACCTTATGACAAAATAAACTCTAGTTCCTCCCATTTCACTGCGCGTTGTCTTATAAAAGGCATTTGAAAATACCTCCAATGTCGTTCAAATTCTCCGATGTTGTTGACAGTTTCGCGTTGCTCTCCCAAGCAACCGTACGGGTGTAGCAAAGATAAAAACATGTGACGTCACCTAACCGCTTCGAGGCCAAATTGTTTGGCAAACAAGTCGGCGTTGGCGCCAGATTACCAGATTTCGCACCTCTTTCTTGTGGGTTTTAAGCAAACGCGCAGTGAAATGGGAGGAACTAGAGTTTATTTTGCCATAAGGTAGTGTGATTATACATGACACGAAGTATTTGCTAGTCTAGCACTGGAGAAATTAGCATTTGGATGCGCATAGTGCGGCTTTAAAACCAATATTAAATACATATAAATATATATTTGTGCACGTGTGTGCGTGTCTGTGCGTGTATGTGCGTGCGTGCGTGTGTGTACATGCATGCGTATGATTGTTTGGGTGGGTGTGTGTTCCTGCATGCATGCATGCGTCTGCGCCAGTGTACGTGCGTGAATACGTGTGTGCCGGCGTCCGCGTGCGGGTACCTGTAGGCAAGCACACGTGTGTGCATGCATGTGTGCTTAAATGTGCTATCACAGTTGGAAAAGGACTCAATGGCCAATTGTCACGTTAACGCCTGGTACAAGACATGTATGCTACCCATTTCGCGCCACTTCTTACACACCTCGTCAAAGTCAATCTTGCCCGATACCGAATAAATGCGTTTCTGCTGATAGGTAAGATCGCGCCACGTCTGCCTGATGAATATGTTAATCTTCGCCATGTCATTGGCCAGGCAAGAGCTTCGCCCAGAATGCCAGAGAAACTTCTTTGCCTGTGCTCAGCAAGAAAAACAAAGTAAAAAGGCATTACAAGTTTTACCCACGCGTATTTTGCGTACTGTGATACACTGTCGGCTCAGACATGGCTGTTAACAGCTGATGAACACTCCTTGATCAATAGCATTTCTGTGCGTGCATCACACAAACTTGTTGTAACAAAGGACTTCCGCAAATGGTGGCCTACGGTTGCTCTCGTACGAACATGCGACCACGCCCAGTGAGACATTATTAATACGATTTTCATAGCAAGCGCACGCTGATGGCTTATGAGCGTCACCACGCCCTCTACCACTGTCTACCTGCTGCTTGAATATGGCCAGAGGCGTCTGCTCCGTTTCCTCCACACCAGGCGCACACGTGGTCTGGGTACTGGCTACGTCCTTAATAAACACAGGAGAATAAGGACAATTAATCAAGTTATTTCTACCAGATGAAACGTTACTCGTAGCGTGTGGAAGACACAGAAGCAGTATTATCGCTGTAATAACACCGTGTAATATATGTACAGCTTTATTTAGCGCAGTTTACTAATATGCGCAAGCACTCATTGCAAAATAATACAAACAGTAGTGATAAGAAGCATAGGGAGAATAAAGCTTGCACTCCTCTATTCACTATTAAATCCTAATTCAAATTTCAATTGTTTTAACCTTAATATCAATTCTGTCACTAAAGCCTTTACTTATTTAACAAGAAAATAATTAGTGTTTTAGAATAGAGTGCACCATCAGTCAACTCAAGCACACTCGCCCCGGAATAAGTGCACTCCAACACACTGAATGACTAGTGGCATACTCAACCCGTATTTCGCTCTTGATAAAAAGGAGCATGACACCCTTCAGCCGCCCAGTTTAGAGCACGATTAAATAATTCTATAAATGCATTGTGCTCAAAGGTGCATTACAATGAAATTTGTGAACTGGAAAACTACCATCACAAAGCCATCAGGCCCAGGACATGTACTGTACAAGCACAAGTGTCCGTCGATTATCAGAAAACATATTATGTATTATAGTAAATGAAGGGTTATGGGTCACCGTTGCTATTATGGTATAAAGCTTATAGTGCATACCATGAACTTTACATGACTGCAATGCTTTCCATGCACTTCCGTGCTTTTCCATGACCATGGGAACCCCTGTATACAGGTGCTACATAAGGCTTCTTTTATTTCATTATCTTCTCTTCGATACCATTCCATTACACTCCTGTCTTTTACAGCATGTGAAAACGTAACCCACAACAACAACACGAGAGTCTGTCACTTACAACTTTTACTGAGTTTTTGCACTTACGGTTGCAGCTAGCATGGCTTCCGTGGCACCCTTCTTGTCTGCACTGACACTGACGATCACCGGCTGGTCATAATGAATTTTCACTCTCAGAACCATCAGGCTGGAGCTTGTTTCTTGCAAAATATTGCAGACTTTTGCATCTGTTGACGAAAAACACATGTACACTATGTACGTCATGTACAAAACATGAAGCCAATAAAAAGTGCCTCGACAACACGGATGCAGGAACATATGCTGGCCAATACTGCCCAATATCTGTAACATAACCAGCTAACACCCACAAACTCCAAACTTTCATTTGCAATCGAATGTTTTTAATCGGGCATGTTCACAATTGTTACACTTACCAGCTTTCATGACCGAACACGTCACTCTATACGCCTGCTCGGACAGATCTCCCTTGTGTAAAGGTTCCAACAACTGCTGTGCAATATCTGCTAACTCCGGTAGCTCAATGCTGATAGCCACCTACGTGATAACGTGTCAAAAACAAATGTCGTCATAGTGATAATTTGATGTCAAACAAAGCGATATAACTTCCTAGTAAACAACATCGTTAAAGCTGTATATTTAATTAGTCAAACCTGTATATATGGGCCACTTAAGTGAAACACAAAAAGTGGCCTTTATCGACAGGTGACAATTCTATACAGAAGGGCAGTCTTCTTTCTTTTTATTCAGCTACCACTAACATGTTTTTATGAAACAAGTTACTTGCAATTCTCACTGACAAAATTAATTCACAGAAAATTTTAGATATTAAATCATTAAAATTGTCTTAGGCATCTCAAAACATAATATATATCCCTGTAAAGTTATTGCCTGGTTGAGCCAGAAACAGAAGCATTTTGTGGACACTGATTTTCAAACATATCTGTTTAAATTACATGGCACGCTACATGACCTGCCAAAATTACAATGCACGATACTTTAAAGCCACATAACAATAACATATGTCCTCAATATAAAAAGAACGACGTCGTGAGAAGTACGCATGCGTGTGAGCGAGCGAGCGTGGGACTCACCTTGTGTATGCAGGCAAGCATGTCGGCATCAACCTGGCTTCCTTCTGGCAGCGTCAGCTTCCCCGAGTAGATGAACCTGAGGATGACCTCGACGACCGCGTCGCTGACGTCGTCGAAGCAGACGGTGTCGACGCTCGAGTCGCTCACCAGCACCGACCGCACGCAGTCAGGCATCGCCGCGGCAACGACGACGCGATGAGCCGTCCGTACCTGCGCCTCGCCCGCGCCGCAGCCGACCACCTGTGTACACACACCGCGACACACGCCTTACTTGTGTTGCGCGAATAGCGCCGATAAGATATCGCGGCTAAAGCATTTCCGTTAACTTTCACCGCAAGTTAAACAGAACGGAGGAAAAACAATGACATTGCGCCGCGCGTCACATTTTGAACACGAGTAGAAGTGAAAGTTAAAATCTAATTTTTGAAGATTTGTTTCTACGGATAAATAAAAACTACTGCTACAAATCGTACAGGTACACAATGAGGAAATTTATGTATTCCCGGGCACTCTATGTTTGCTTCCCACCTCCCACCCGTTGATGATTAAGATTTGCCAGGGCACGGGCAGACTATATTAACAATCAGCTCACAGCACATTGCTATATTTGTCAAAGCTTTTCTGGGGCATGCATAGATCAATAGTTTTTGCACGTATTGTATGCTGGAATTAACACGTTCTTGCAGCACCTCTAAAAGCCAGACTGAGAGTGCCTGAGAGCACCTACCAGTCACGTCCGTTGACGACTTGTAACAGCAATTCTCATTCACCTACTGAGATTTTTATCTATTGAAAAACCCCAAACGTTAACCTTTACTTTTACGTTTTTGAAAAATTCCAACCAGCGTGTGATATTCAGCATTTTCCTCAGATTTCAATCCCTCTCCCTCATCGATTTCTCGACCGCGTCCCTCCAAACAGAAAACTCTGCGACGACGCCCCCACTACGCCCCCGCCCCCACCCGGGGAGGTTACCTTCACGTCCGCCCCCACCACCACCACCACCAAACCCTAACCCTAACCCTAACCCTACCACCACCACCCGGGGAGGTTACCTTCACGTCGGTGTACATCATCTGTGCGTAGATGTACTTGAGGCCGAGGAAGGTCGAGCGCAGCCGCTGCAGCCGCACGTCAAACCGGCAGGAGAGCGGCTCGGCGCTGAGCAGCCGGATGTCTCCGTCGAGGCGGCGGCTCTCGGCAGCGAGGATCGCGCGCCACGCCGCCTCGCCGCCGCCGGGCATCACCTCCTTCAGCGCCACGAGCCGTCGGAAGATGTCGACGACGCGGCTGAAGTCCTCGACGTGGAACGCCTGCACGACCTGCCACACAGCGTCACAGCGTTAGCTAGGAGTGAGAGCGCGAGCGGTGGAACGCCTGCATCCGTCGCTCTCACTCCTAGCTAACGCTGTGACGCTGTGTGGCAGGTCGTGCAGGCGTTCCACCGCTCGCGCTCTCACTCCTAGCTAACGCTGTGACGCTGTGTGGCAGGTCGTGCAGGCGTTCCACCGCTCGCGCTCTCACTCTCTAGCTAACGCTGTGTGTCAGGTCGTGCAGGCGTTCCACCGCTCGCGCTCTCACTCCTAGCTGACGCTGTGTGGCAGGTCGTGCAGGCGTTCCACCGCTCGCGCTCTCACTCCTAGCTAACGCTGTGACGCTGT